TTCCTTTGTCTAAGGGGCAAATTTTAATGACGACGGGTTTTAGCGGGCCGAAGGCCCGCTATACTATTTGAGTCTGTTTTCCAGCAACTATAGCAAAAACGGTCGGGCCGCAGGCCCGAGCGTCGCCACCGGGAGGCCAAGCAGGCCCGGCCCCTGCCGAACGGAGTTGTCGGAGCAGCGAAGCGGAGCTGGCAACTCTGTTTGGCGGAAGGGCGGGCCTGCTTGTTTAAAAGCAGAAGGGTGGGCTAAAAAGACAGATCGAGTTCGAAGGAGAGTAATTCTAGCCCAAAAATCTGATTAAAATAAAATAATCAAAAACCACAAAACCGACGAGTAGGGGAGGTAAGGCGTACGGCCGAAGCAAAGCCGAGCCGACACCTGCCAGGCGACGCGTGCCCCCCTCCCTCCCCACCCGTCTCTCTGCTGCAAACTCCAGTGTGAGACAGTTTCACAGCTTAAACTGTGAGACCACTGTGTCTCACACTTCCTAAAACTATTTTCTGTCCTTTATACTAAAAACTATTTTTAGAATCACCCTTGTCTTCCTCGTAAAATTCCGGTTCAAACGAGTACATGTATGATGGAGTTCTGATCGCAAACAACGACACCATGAAGTCTTTTGGAAATATCAACCTCGTTAATAATTAAATGTAATGTTGGCATTGTTGCTCTAATCCCCATCAAATATATGCTCGTTTGAACCGAAATTTTGCGCCGTAAGTGATTGTGTTCTCAGAAATAAGTTTACTTTTGGAGGACAGAAAATAGTTTTAGAAAGTGTGATACACAGTGGTCTCACAGTTCAAACTGTGAGACTGTCTCACACTTGAGTTTGCAGAGTATTGGCGTTTCAAACGGTGACGCGCGCGCCCCTAGCGGCCGAACCCCGAACGAGCCGAACCGTGACCCGTGACCGCTGGGAGGTGGGCCATAGAGATGCATTGGGAAACGGGCGAGCTGGGCTGTTTTCGTCGACCAAATGTCCAAAATCGTGTTACAAAATGCCGAACCTTATTGAGTTGGATCATTTATTTGATGCTCAGAAGGGTTTTTCTCGTCCTTTGCGTGAAGGGAGACAGGCTGTCATTAATTTAATTGAGCCTTTAGGGCTGAAAACAGCAAAGGATCCCCGGTTTGCCGAAGTGGTGGGTCTGTGCATCAGAACAACAAAAATTAATGAAGCTCCTGTTAGAATAGAGGTTAAAATTGATAGGCAGGCTTCCAAAATTGATCTTGTTCCTGCCTCGCGGGTGCCTCTAAGGAGCACTGTTGTAAGCATGCAATGGCAGTGTTAATTTATCTAGAAAGGTAAGAAAGAATGACCATAATTCATGTCAGGCCAAGTGCCATACCTTTTTTAAAATAAATATTAATTTATTTTTTTGTACAGGAATGATGAAAGTAAACTGGAAAAGCTTACATTCACATCTATTGAGCAGGTGTGGGGGAATATTGCTCAGAAGCAGATTCCATCCAGTTCCTCTTCACCAGTTTTGTCATGTCAAGAAAAACCTCAATCTGTGTACAAGAGACCTGTTGCTGAAGTCACCCCTGAATTAGCAAAGGAGTTTAGGTCCTTATTCATTGAAGGTATGCATGTTGTAATTGAAGACAGCAGGAGGCTGTCTGGTCGCAGTCTCCTGCAGTTTGTGTGTTTTAACTCTTATCTGGGTAATGATATGTTTTCAAACTTATTTTAGCTCAACCAAACTCAGAAGTAGCATTGTTTTTGAGTGGTAAGCGAGAACGAATTGTTGTTGGT